TTTTGAGTAATTTTCACTGCAGTTGTTTTTTTTTGTGGTTTTTTTTTTTTTTTTATAAATTTTAAAGACACATTGCAATTTCCATTTTGATAAAATTCTTTCCATACATAGAAGGCTAGGAGTGATCAGAAGCACATGGGATTTTAATAGCATAATTCTCACAATAACATAACAGAAACTATGGGAGTGAAATCAAGTCATGGTAAATTAAAAATCTGAAAGTTATGCTCTTATTTTATCCACTTACATTTTTAGACAACATAAGTTAAGACAAAAGCATATATTTACTTGTCTTGGTTTTCAGTGGCAAAGTTTTGGTAGCAGGGGAAGCTATGGGGTGGCTTCTGTGAGAAGTTGCTCAAAGCTTCCCCTACATCCAATAGACCCAAAGCCAGCCAGCCAGCTGCAGGGCATATCTGCTGCAGGCCAAGGCCAAGTCCATCAGCAATGGTGGCAGGCCCTCTGGGATAACATATTGAGGAAGGGGAAAATAAAACTGCACGAGAGGGTGTTTTAAGATTGAGTTTTTAATTCTCATTACCCTATTCTGATTTGATTGGTAATACATTATTTTTTTTCCCAGCTCAAGTCTGTTTTGCCCAGGCAGTAATCGCCGAGGCATCTCCTCGTCTTGATCTCAACCCAGGAGCCTCTGCCTTCCACTGACTTTTTCACTCCCCTGTTTAGTTGAGGAGGGAAGAGACAGAAGAGCTTCAGTGGGCACCTGGTGTCCCACCAGGGTCAACCCACCATGTTACTACATGCAATGGGAACACTACAGGACTCAGATTAGGCAGCTCATGTGGTCAAAATATATTTAGAAGCAACACTGATTAGATTAGCTCAGCAATAAGAAGGAACAGAGAAAGACTTAGAACAAGGAACATGGGAAGATCAAACATGCAGCTTAGCCACATTAAGTCTGAGAAGGTGAACGGACACCCCCTAAAAAATACACAAGGAAGACAGACTGTGATAACAGATAAGAAAAATTAGTCTTTTCCTGACAAACTCATCTGATTAAATAACACCATTAAAAAGAGACACAAAAGAGTAACCAGAGGGAATACTACTATATTTGATTTTTCAGGAATCACTTTCAAACAACTGGCTACCAAACAAAGTTGGCATGCAAGAGTGTTTTCAGATGTTTTTCACATAACTTGTTACACAATCGAAGAGGAATCAGTTTCTTTACACATCTTTTTTGACTATTAGCAGACAAGCAGTAAAGGAAGAATTTCTTTACCTTTTACTTGGATTGGTTCTTTAAGGAAAGACTGCTTTTGACCTACATTGGTTGTATCTTGTCCTGTAAAATAAAAATAAAGCTCGCCCTAAACATGAAAGGATTTACTATCCCTTTTAGTAAGGAGTTCTGTTGACATAAAATAAGAATATCTTAATATTGCTTTCCAAACTGACAATTAAAAAAAAAATTTGCCAGATTTCCAGTATTTAAAACTTTCAAAACTAAAGACAGAAATAGTTATAAATAGAAAAATAAGACAATAGAACTTTAACAGAATCCTAGCAGCTTGCAGAAGAGCACTAAATTGCAACATACTTCAGAAAGTATCCCCAAATTTTAAAAAATATTTTAACAGTGTACTTATAGCTTGAGGCAATTTTTATGCAAAATTTTAGATTAGTAAATACTATGAATTCTACATAGTTTGTGGTTGCTGATCACCCAAGTCTCATAGAGCTTTCAACCTGTAGTTCAGTTTTAAGGGACTGAGGCTTTCTCACTCAAAAAGCTAGCTCCTTAATATACAGAACATTTAAACTAAAATTCACAGCTCTCATGTCAAACTGGAGATAGAATGAAAACAAAGTATTTTAGCTGGTTTTGAGATTTAAGTATATGACTCAAGAAGTCAACAAAATATATTTTACAGTACCGTTAAGTGAATCTTAATATTTGGAAAATAATAAATACCAGTAATATTAGTGAGATTGCTACTTAGAAATCAGAAATACTACTTGACAATACAAATATTGCATTCTTATCTCATATACCTCACTACAGCTTTCAGAACAGAAGTCTTCTGATTCTAACATGTCAAACCAACATACCCACTCTTTTGTGCCCTAACACTCACACTGGAGGTTTGCCACACGTCCAACAGTCTGTAATAAAATTAAAACTGACCTTATCGAAAGTGATATACAAAAAAAATGACAATTTTTCAAGTAGGTTTGTGTTAATCAGTGAGATATTCCTAGCTTAACGTGCCACTCAAATTACCCAAAGGTGAGCTACTCTTAAAACAAATGAGAAGCAAGGTTAGTAACAATCCCAATATGGTTTCTTGGAAAAATAAAAACATATTTATGAAACTGATCTTATTACCCAACAAATAAGGCCAGACCATAAATGACTAGCATTCCTAAAACAGTCATCCCTATCAGCTATTGTTTGACTTGAAAACGAAAGCCAAAGACCCTTTGCTGTTGTTTTCTTTTCCTACCTGGTTTAAAACACTGGGTATCCCATTTATCAATATTCAGGATAAAAAAAGCTTCAGCTAAGATTGCTGAGCAAAACCACTATTTAAAAAAAGATTAGGTCACACGGTTTACATCTATGCACAGAGATCTATGGACATCAAGCAGACTTTTAAATCTTATTACTTTGGCCTAGAGACAGGACAAAAATCACAGTGCATCAGAGAGAAAAAAAAATGCAATACTTCAATTCACAATTACTGTTTTTCAGACAAGTAGAGGTTGTTGTGATGGAACTTGCAAGGTGAGTACTATCTTGTACTGTACTTGCAAGTACAGTAATATCTTCAAAACTGCATTAACAGGCAAACCATTTCCAAATTTTACTGATAAAAAAATGGAGGTCCAAAAGATATCCATTATTTGCTAAATATTTCAGTTACTGAAAAGTATGGGAAACTTTACAAGTAGCATATTACCTCTTCAGAATTCTATCAAAAGATCATGTGTTTTTAAACAAACAGTAGCAGTACATCTGTAACACATGAGAACATTCTATCCACGAGGCCCTAGACAACACCACCTACATGAAGCGTGCATATAATAACATTGAGTCCAAAAGAAACTTCAGAGTGACTGCTTGCCATCCCACCTCCACCCTAGCTCTGCAAAACACAAAACCAACTTCTCACAAGAAAATATCAACAACTACAACTAGCTCTACAGTCCTTCATGGTATTCAGGCACACATTCTTCTGCAAGAATCTCACCCTCTAGCAACCATCTTCAGCTCAAGGCTCTTCAAGAAACAAAAGCAGTCTTAAATGTTATCCTCTTCTAAAATCCAATCACAGACTTAACAAACAATATTTGTTATGCTTAAAACAACATTTAAGATCCACTTTTGTACTGCAGTTCTGACAACTGTCAGAGTAGAAAGGTCTAGCAGATGGAACAGCTCAACCTTCTCTACCAGTCATCTATAGCATGACCTGGAGAAGTCACAGCACTGTGTATTCACTCCTTAAATCTTTATCACTAGTTCATTTCACACAACAAACCTGAAATACTATTCACTTTATCAAATAAAGTCAAATACTTTATCACTAGTTCATTTCACACAACAAACCTGAAATAGAATTCAAGCCAGAAAAGTGGTGAAAGACAAGTAAAATATTCTATTTCTTATCCCTTAAATTACCTAATCCCTTCTGACATCTACATTTTATCATCACCACTTTAAAACTGATTGCTCTAAACTTAAATCTTTTAAATACTGGAATGACAAAAAAAATTCAGCATTCCTCTCTGCTTATTCATTTGAAACATATATGTAGATGCCCACAAGCAACAAATACTAAGAATTCTGCAACCTTCTGTGAATATCACACAACTGAAAAAAAAAAAATCAAGCTCTTATCAGCTATTAAATACACAAAGTTTTTACATTTATATAAATGCTCTTTATTTGAGCTTAGTACTACCTGTTCCAGCTTTATGCAGGGATTCTTCAGGGGTTGATCCACTTTTATCTTCTGACCCAAGATCTTTTTTCTGACCATTGGAGGTATAAACTCTCACTTGACTCATCAACTGCACAGGCAGACGACTGCACGGTAGAATGTAAGGCAGACTCATACTTTTCATTGAAGCTTGCCATCCTAATGGGAAGAAAAAAGGAAAAAAAAAGTTTCAGGTAACCATTCTGGAAGGAAAAAGTAGGGAAGACCCAGCTATACCAGCACAAGTTATGGAAAATTCGCTTTTAAGTACTGACCTATGCTTATTTTACCCATGTTTAGGAATTACAAAATGGGACTACACAGCATGCTTTCACTGCCTCCCTTCAAACATCCACTTTTAAACTTCATTCTAACATTCAGGTTTTTTCCCCATACAATGCAGTATGCACTTTTTCCAAACACCTCTTGATGATCTTAAAATGATCTTTTTTTAAAAAAAAAAAAAAAAAAAATACAAAGCTATTTGATTAGACTGACTTACAGATACATTAAATCTCATTCTAGTCATACTGCTTCAAAACCTTTAAAAAACATCCTGATAAAAGAACAAATAGAGCACTACAAAACTATTAGCCAGTGTTGCCATTCATTGTGTACACTATACACTCCACAGTTTACCAATGAAGAAAAACTGAACTGTGTGCATTACATATTAAGAGCAACTTGCTACTGAAATTACACAGAAAAGCACACAACATTGTAAAAAGTATCTTATACAGAAGAATCCTAGATTTTGCAACATTTACAACAGAAAAACTACAAGATAAATAAGTAAAAAGTCTGTTAGGAAATCACCCTAAGTGGGCAATCTTCAATTTCAAAAGACTAGCCAAAAGTAGAGTGGATGCTGTACAGGCCAGCCTGTATTAGCAACCAGCTTCTTTTAGGCAGCATAAACACTTATGTAGAATGGGTATACAGCTCCTCCAACCAGAAATGCAGCAGGCAAACCAGCTGCTTTGGAAAGCACTTATTAAAAGAATAAACAATTAAAAATAAAATTAAAAGTTAAGGATGCCAGTAAATCAAGTCATACAAGGTATGACTAATCATATATGAATAGCACACCTCTCACAAAATATTTTATAAAACTGTTTATTCCACAGAAGTCTCAACAGCTTTCATTTTAGTCCTCTACAATACAAAACATTTGCACATGTGCACACACCAATTTGAACCTTACAGAAGAGTAATATCACTAAAAGAAAAAAAAAAAGGTCAGATAAGCTCTTATTGACTATTAATTGTTGCTGATGTGACAAAAATCCAGAAAATTCAAGTCAACACAACTCGGTGCACTTACTGATTGCAACTCATAGAACACTACAGTAAATAGTTGGCACAAGACGAGCAGTGTTGTCTCCTAAGCTTTGGCAATACTGGAGCAGTTGAAGAAGGCAAACTTAAAGGGCATGTTTAGAGCATTTTTCCTATATACGCAAGAAACTATTAAAGGGTATTTGCGGCAATTCAACCATAAGTGTCTACGTGAAGAGGCAGAAAACTGACCAGAATTTAAATTCCATGGGATCTGCAGCCTAAAGGAAAAGCCAGGGCTCGCTCCTCTGACCAACACAAATCCCCCAAGACCGCGTTTCATTTTATACTGTCACGGAAAACTTCAGCCCCCAGCGGGCATGACGTGTCGGTTTTACGTAAGAGCGGGGCTGACAGGGCAGCGGGCCCGCAAAGGGCGTGCGAAACCCCCCCGCAAGGTACGGACGCCCGCCAGGATACGCCTCGCTCGCCTCCCTCTTGGGTGAGCTCGGTTCTCGGGAGGCCGCCCGCCCTCCCGCCCTCCCGGCCCGGCGGCTCCCGGTCCTCAGACGCCCACAGCCGGGGACGGCGTCACTGCCCCGCGCTCCACTACAGCTGCCCCCG